GGAAATGGAATGGTAGAGATATAAAAACATCATTTAAACTGTATCTAACTGTATCTGCAACACCAAGCAATTTCTGTCTCATCTTCATTAGGTAGTAGGCCTAAAGTACAAATAAAAGTGCCAAAACTAGAAAACATTTTAAATATTATTATATTGTGAGGCAGCTTGGTGAAATCAGGCACTCGTCAAAATAATCCAAGTGAAGAAACAAGTGAAGAGACTGGCCTTTTACCACAGGTTTGGTCGTTTTGATAGAATTTCTGGTTTTTTACTCAACACCTTTCATGCCCAATAAAGAACACATTTCTGAGTGCATTTTACTGGAAAAACGTTGATTAAAGGCATAGAATGTAAGTTTTCAGTTGCCACGGACTCTCCAGCTTAGGAAATAACTCAACTTTGGTGGCCATTTTCTTGTTAATTTTACCTCAGAAACCAGGCGTCCCCCACCTCCTTCAATCGCCAATATCGTGAATTGTATTCAAGTTAAATGGATATTTTTTTCATCAAAAGCAAGGCAAAAGGACAGGCTTTAAGTAAGATGATACCAATAACTCCATATGCCCCAAATTTGACGAGCGCCTGATTCCAACACGTCGTTACACACACACACACACACACACAAATATATCTATATATATAAATATATATGTATATATTCATGCTCTCAAGGAAAGCAAAGAAAGCTCTGATCTCATGGGGGCGACATGGATCCAGGATAAAAAGAGCATTCTTTACAACAAAGTAAAGAACAATCAACATGAAATATCACCCAATGCTGCGCCCCCACAAATGATCAGGCAAATGAAAAAACGGACCAGTTCTACAGCTAACTACAGACGATATTATGTAAGAGGAATACCCAGCCAGAGATATCAATATCCTTATGGGATAATGCAAAGATAGAAAAAGATAACAAAGGTTGTGTTTTCTTCTTTTGTGTTAAAGGTTTGCACTTTTCTTGGCACTTGCCTCCACCTCTCTTACTTAAAATAACCTTGGCTTTCCTGAAGTCATTACTACCATACTGTAAATGAAAAGAGACAAGCAAAATATTCATGGCAGCCGGTATTTTCACGACCTGTGGTGGAAAAAAATCTATGCGCATTTTCACGACTTGTTTTTCTTTTTGGGTCATGCCACGCATGCCAGAGGGCATAAACTAGTATTAGACTCTCTGCCCTGTGCTGGCCAAGCTTCTCTCTCTCCCTCTTCCTCTCCCTCTCCCTCTCCCTCTCTCTCTCAATAAAAACGGCGGATGCAAATCCCCATCCCTTCGAAGTGGGACGAATTTTTAAAGCGTATCGAGTTTGAGGAAGAATTTCGGAAGTACTGTGGTACAAAGTATGTTTTCAGCAAAAAATCCTCGAAACCAGTCCGCCAAGAACAACACAATCAAAGATGAGTCAAAACACTACCCAGCGGAGAGGCAGTACTTCAAGCTCAGCCCGTTCTTGATTCGTAAACATTAATATTATGGAAGCTACGACAGCACGAGCAGAGACACTGCACTAAGTCTTGATTTTATAGATTTTTGGTGGTACAGTATTATACTTTATCTGTAACATCAATTTAGAGGGTTGAATTCATATATACAGATCGATATTTTCATTCTAGGTTAGAGAGTCTACCTTACTTAGTTATGTCTAGGCCTACCCCTTACTAGAATTTAATCCCCAGAGCTCTCTCTTGCTAAGTGGCGAACGATTGTCGGTGATGGCTAGACCTAGAATCTAGGCCTACTCAAACCTATAGTGACATAGATTTAGATCTACCTACTCATTTTTTTTATCTGTTCTTGCACTTGTAAAAAAGCTATTCTTCAAGAGACGTGAAAGTAGAGCTCAGAACAATGTAACATACACAACATGGAATGGGCCTTTCTATTCAATTTGAGATCTCATCCCTCACGGCGTACAAACACCGCTCTTTTAATTGGCTCGGCGATGGAGTGACCGGGTCACGGCGGGCTGGTCACACAGAGGTTACTACTAACTCGACCTGCGTTGGTAGCCGGTGAAATGAATTTTTCAACACAATGTTTTATCGTCTTACACAAACAAAAAATATCATACGTGAACACAAGTTTGTTCTTTAGAGAAACCAGCTAAACTTCTTCATTGGTACGAAATGGAAATACCATGGCAGTTCACATTATGGAGTTAGATGTTCTTAAAATGTATGTCTATTTATAGTTAGTCAAAACAACAAACACATATTGAGTGGCCAATAACTTATAACCCTAACATTAAATATTTACAAAACTGCTAAGTATAACAGGAAAATGTGAAAATGATGCAATAATTATGCAAGTTACAGTAACGCCATTCGCGTCATGTTTTGCCCTTTTTCAAGAAGAATTTTCATGTTTTATGTACAGAAAAATTGAAATCAGAACATATTAGTATCAGTAATATGTTGCGTATTTAGAAAGAAAACAATATGCATTAGTCAAAAATAAAAACAAAAACAACCAAAAAATATAATCTCTGTAACTTTCAACTGTAGATCTATAGAGGAAAGAAAAATGTTTTTTTTTAAATTTAAAAAAGAAGACATCTGGACTGCTGATGCTGGCACATCACCAGGGGCGAAGGCTGACTTGTTTGACAGGGTAATCAAAGTGAAATGGGACCAGATAGGGCCTGGAGATATCACACTCACACAAGTCACAAGAATCTTACTGGCACTGGAGGCGGCAACTCTGAGTTGTGAATGAAAACAAATCCTGAATTCATGTTGTATGCTTGTTCAACCGCTAAAATAATCGGGAAAGTATTTCATTAAATTTTTATTCTAACTAACCTTAAATTTAACTTTAGATTTGAACACACGAACACCAAGGAAAGAAGCACAGATGTCAGCACTACAATGGCATGTTATACCAGACAGCCGAAACACTTTGGTAGAGCACGCCAATTATTAATTTTTTATTTCACATTTGGCTGTTTTTTGTCTAGCTTTTCGCAGCCAGGAGCCGCTGTCATAATCGAGGTCACGATCTGATTATAGGACGTTAAAAAGTCGAGGAAAAAAAACAAGCACTAGCAGTGTAGTAGCAGGAGTCAAAGGATTATTAGGTGTTAGTCCCCCTCACATCTGTGAGGTAGACTCGACCAGTGTAATAGTTCGCTTAGATAATCAGGGCGTCTGGGTGCTTATAACTGTGGCCCGAAAGGGGTGAACAGGGTATATGCGACAATGAAACAGTTCTGACTACTATGCACATGTTCCCTTCAAATCTATTGGTTGACTCTTCCAGCCTCACTTTAAGCTTACTTAATCAAAGCTTGTGACTGCTTATGGAGTGGCCCGATAGGGGCGAACAGGCTATTTCTGTGGCAATGAAACGGTTTTGAAGGTTAGGCATAGTCTATTGTTCATTGGTGATTATGAACGTCTTTTTACATTTAATTTATGAGGTTTACGTCTATGGGTGAATTTGACTGCGACAATGTTTCAAAATTAGGAAGGGAAGCAGTGATTATTTGATTATATAGACGCTTCGCCTCTGCACATCACTTAAACCAGGGACACCTGTCAAACATGAAACATCAGCAGACATGAGAACAACTTTTGATGGATTGAAAAATTGAACATGCTGAAGGCTCAAGGAGCAAAATCCCTCACCCATTACAATAAGGCTGGCCAGGATCTTTTAACAAGGGAAATAACCAACTTATCACTTAAAGGAGACTTATTACAGTGATTACTTCCCTTTAGTCAACCGGGGAGGAGCTAAATATTGTAAAAATATGAAAACAACAAAACAAAAAACATGAAAAACGAGGGGAATTCAAAATTATTCAAATGTTGCGGAATTACGAAAAAAAACGCGGCCGCACAATCACTAAATCCTACGGGGACAGCCACCCAAGCGATGCCGACGAACGGAGCAGGAATTCACATTTATGTTATTGTCAAGCGCACAACACATGTGCCTACTAGCGTCAACAGCTTTTTTGCGGCATGAATTGACGTGACGTAACGCACTCTCTCCTTTTGATATTTGAAATCACGGTAAAACACTGGACACAAATGTTAGCGGAATACGACTGTTCATCTTCATCCCTCACATGAATCCCATAAATCAAGAGAATATCTCCTGACATTGTCTTACATAATGTTTGACAGTTAAATTTAAAAGCCAACACACCCAACAAAGTTCATTCAGAGACTCTCTATGCCTCTGTGACCAAACCATTGCAGTTTAACAATTTTTACTTAGGAACACAATTCACTAACTGATTGCCAGTTACTGCAATGTGCTATATGATTTGATAGCTATCACGCAAACAGAAATAAACACCAATGTTTCATATTGGAATGATTTGTAATTAAATTTGAAGAGATCGCATTATTAACGGCACTTCCGATCACTTAACACTCACAATTTAAAACTGTTATTATTCCAAAACGAATAAATGAAAACTGTTGAAACTTTCACAAGATACCAAGAAGACGTAGATGAAGCGAAATTGGCGAAGAAATAGATTCTAGGGGTAGAGTGAGCATCATTTTACGGCTCATGAAATTAGGGGAAGAAACGAGTTCTGATAAGGACAAGATAGGATAGCGCGGTGCACGAGTTGACCCCGGTCAATCCCCAACCTGACGTGTGAAATTGCAGGTCACCTGCCGTTGATTTATGGCCTACCGCGGGGGGCCCGGACAAACTAAAAGATCGCTGAGATGGAATTTGGGACGCCATGCCCTAACAGTAGGCTACGCAAATCCAGGAGCATCAATCCTGACGGTACGATCACCAAGCCTATATATTCTAATTTTACCCCATTTTTTTTACGCGTTCGATTGTCAAATGCCAAAACCAGAGCACAATTTCACTTTTTTTTAAATCTTTATTTTGGTAGCCGTTATTTTCACGACCGAGCCACACAGAGGGACAATGGTTGAGTGCGCACAAATAGGCCTACAACTTACTGCCGAGGTTTAGATTCTAGATTTAGATCTACCGTCGGAAATGCAAGTGCCCTCTTTCTCTCTCTCCCTCTCTCTCACACTCTCTCTCTCTTTCTCTCTCCACTCTCTCTCTCTCCAAAGTTTTTTTAAAACATACGTTGCGGAATAGATGATGATGCGGCAAGTACAGAATTTCAGGATGTAGGCCTAGACTACGAGTTTCGCCAGGGAAAGTTGGAAGCACTCTCGGCACCCATCGCAAATCCGGTAGTTTTGACACCTTAATCGGAATGGTGGCAAAACTAAAACAGGTAAAAAATCGGAAACTATATCAAGATCTAGATGAAAACACGCATAGCCTTTTTTTTCCACGACAGGTCGTGAAAATGGTCATCAATTTTTTTTCCACGACATATCGTGAACATACCGGCTGCCAATATTCATTTAACAAACTTCAAGTTGTGTAATGTTTCTAATTAGCAGCAGCCGGATTGTTAAACTTTAAACAGAACCATTTCCTTGTACAGAGGTGCATCGACCTCAGAGGACAGGAGATCCACTTTGAACATCTCCAGGAGCTGATGATGGACAATCACACAAGTCTTGAGGTCAGCCAGCAAAGTGATCACTTGGGAGTAGACGCTGTACGGCTTTGGGTGCCGACGGTGAAGAGACAGTAACAAACAGCAGAGAAACCGCCAGTACAGAGCTTCAACCTTCTGCCGATCCTTTAGTCCATCTCGATCTGCGAAAGGCACAGAAAGGTTACTGGTTTACATCTGGTGGCTTTTCAGTTTAGAGAGGCACATTTTGACATGACACTGACCGTTTGAGCAAAGAGAACACACTGACACTATTTATGATCGTTTGGGCATTTAAGAAGCACGTTGACACACCATTAGGTCTTTTGAGTACGGTAAAGAGAAGCACATTGACATGATAATGGTCCTTTGAGTAAAGAGAAGCACGATGGTATGATAATGATCTGGAGTTAAGAGAAACAACTGACGTGATAGTGATCTTTTGAGTGAAGAGAAGTATATATATATAGACACAATAATGACCATTAAGTGTGGAGGAAAAGCCAGCAAGATAAATATTATGCTAGTACGTTCAAAAACAAAAGAGGGAAAGAAAAGAAGTAAGAACTATTAGTGACACTCTTTAACCCTCTGCTCACGCCAGGAAGTGGTTTTGTGTGGATGTTTGTGAGTGTGTGTGTGTGTATGCTT